ACCCCCCCTCCCACAATGTCTGCCTCTATTAGCATATTTTGCCATTACACACCAATGAAACTGCCAGCTACACAGGCTAGCAGCATACTGACAGAATTAAAGTACCAATAATAATTATTGCTTAATCGAACAAAAGGCTTGATATAGGGTTTGATAGCATCTTGCAGCCATCTCACTGGGATTTTTCGGTCAGACTATATGCTGGATGGTACAGATGAAGAGCCAGAAATCTTGCAATCAAGCAAGTTGAGATCAACACAATAGCTTCTTCATTTGGTGGATTGAGTCCACAGATGAGAGGACTTCACAAGTAAAGTTATTTCAATTTCTGTTGTCTTACAGTACTTTACACCTGTAGTTTAACTAGATATTAAATGTAACTAATTTGACATACAGTGTATTTGTGAGAGATGCGGTGGCGTAATGGTTCGCATGCTGGACTCTGGATCGAGCAGTCCGGGTTTGATTGCTAGCCGGGGTCATTGTGTGGTGGTCTTGGGCAAAATACTTTACTCTCACACTTTACTTTCACCTCCACCCAGGAGTATAAATTATGCATACTGGTGAACTGTGAGGACAACCTGACAAAATGCCTGGGGGGTTACCTGCGATGGGCTAGGCATCCAAGATTCCAGGGTTTTTTTTGTCTAGGGGGAATTAGTAGCAATGCTTCCTAGTTACTGGAGTAAAGTACTGGAACCAATGAACTATCTTGCTCCTCTGTTCCTTGGGAATGTGGGGATTTTCTCCGCCCCCACCTCCTTTATCCTCCTCCCCCCCCCCCCCCCCTCACCTACACCTGCTGTGCAGGCTACTAGGAGGGAGGCAGAATACACTTTCTAGAAAGATGGTAGTCATCATAAGTCATCATAAGATGGTAGTCAATATTGTGTGAAGTAAAAAATTCATAACTAATGTTTTCACAATCTCTTGGGGTTTTTTTTTGTCATTTTTTCCAGCTTTTTATTGGATCTTCAGAATGGACCTGACCCAAGTAACAAAGAAAAGGTACACTTAAAAATTATGTCTTTGTTTTTGTTATAATCTTATCTACTTGTACGTGGTTGCAATTTGGTCTTATTGCATATATACTAGTCTAAGAGTAAAACTAAAGGTAATTTGCTGTCAGTGCCAGTAGCGCATGAGTTACATGTACCCACTGGGTCTCTGTCTTTGTTTCCAGCTTCCTGAGAACACATCAGCGTCAGGAATATCAGCAGGCCTGGTGGATGCTTGGAAGTTTTTATGGAAATGAAAGGTAAGCAGATTAATCACTTTTTTTTTTTATACATTTGTGTTTGAGCCCCAAAATATAATAAAACATTAATGTGAGTTGATTAAATGTAATTTTATTCTCCTTTGAACCCCAATTAGTGCAGTAGTGATGATGGTTACATCAGGCGGTGAGCGAAACAGATTTGATCAGAGATGGACACAACACCTCATGAGAGAATTGTAAGTACATGTAACTTTAAAACCTTACCAGTTATAATGATCACCAAGCAACAACAACAACAACAAGCTTTGATCTTACCCGGCATGCCAGTACGTTGTTGAAAACACAACTGCAACAATCATTTCTTCACTAAATACACTGTAGATTAATATATGCAGTTTCATATTTAATAAAATAATTTGATTTCAGATATATAACACTTTTCACTGTATAATTATTTTGCTGTCTCTTCCATTGTGCCTGTTTGTGCCATTACTTTTCCAAACTTTTTGGTAGGTTTGCAAGTTGTAGTAAGTTACTTTGGGGAACACAACTTTTAGAATTCTACAGCATCCATGATGTTACTTGGTTGTTGTTAATGTTGTAACTGTCCATGTGTATTACTGAAGTTAGAATTGGTTCACTTTAATTATTTGTATATACTGTACCGGTGCGAGCAGTCCCTCTTTCTTTCAAGTGAGCGCAAAGCGCGAGTGAGCGGAAATCGAGCACTAAGTGATGGAAGTGCGAGTGAGCAGAAAATATCGAGTGCGAAGTGACGGAAATGTGAGTGAGCGGGAATTGGGCCTAGTGGAAGTGAGACATGTTTATTCGTTTTCTGGTTCGTCGCTCACTTCCACTCGCCAGCTCGCTCGTGCTTTGCACTCGATTACCACTCTCTCGCAAGTAATGAAGTTATTTCTTAATAATTATTTATTGTACCGCTTCTAACTAGAAACTCATTTAATTTGAACATTTCAATGTTATTGTAATTGTCTTTTTGTTATTTTTCAGCCATCCTTCTGCACGTATGGATACGAAAATCCTTCAGTGATATCGGCCAGACAGGAGAACTGAAAGATGATAAAACACTGATAGTGTAAGACCCTAATCTATAACCTGGCAATTTAATGAATGTGATTGTCACATTATGTACCGGTACAGCTGCTGTAAATCAATTTTTTAATTAAATTCTCTTTGTGTTTATTTCCAGGGATGGACATGAAATTGCTGTTGTATACTTCAGGAGTGGCTATGATCCAGCTGATTATCATTCAGAAGACTGTAAGTTCCATTTGCTAAATATTACCATGCTTAGGGCCTCCACAGACTAGAGAGATAGTTGTCGACAACTATTTTAGTTGTCGATCATAAAAAGTTGTTGATAACAAAAAAGCCAGTGGTGCGAAGCTAGTTTGTCGATAACTAAGGCCCTTATAGTTATCGATAACTACCTTCACATACTGGCTTTTTTGTTATCGGCAACTTTTTATGATCAACAAATAGTTGTCAACAACTATCTCTCTAGTCTGTGGAGGCCCTTAAAAAGGCTTTGTTTCAATGGCCAATTAACTTATAAACCATAAATTTTTTTTATTATATGCCAAGCAGTTCTGAAGTTGAGTGGGTCGCTGACATTCTTGCCGCATTTTGACGTCTTCTATTATTTGTTTACTGACCACAGGATTGGAACACGCGGCTTAATGTTAGAACGATCACGAGCCATCAAGTGCCCTAGTGCTGCATTTCATCTTGCTGGTACAAAGAAAGTTCAACAAGTGTTAGCTTCACCCGGAACATTGGAAAGGTTTGTTAGGCTGGAATGCAAAGAGTTCTTAATTTAGTTTAAAAATTGTTGGCTCTACTGATTAGGAAGTTGGGCATGAGCCTAGTGGCCCACAATCGCCGGTGCTTATCACGGTTTTCTGCAGCATGAAGCGACTAGGAGTAATTTACCACTCCCCTGGATGGGATGATAGTCCTTTGCAGTTTACCCCCAGCATTTTGTCAGGGTACCCTTAACAGTTTGCTGGTACCCACCCCTGGGTAGGAGAGAGGCACTGTAAGAGTAAAGTGTCTTGGCTGGCCCAAGAACACAACACAATGACCCCGGTCAGGGCTCGAACCCAGGCCACTCTATCCAGAGATCAGCTTGCTAACCATTAGGCCACCGCACCTTCCACATTAGCAAGTTGTACTTTCTAAGAATTTCTCAGTATACTTAGCTCAGGAGAGGTTTTTAAGGTTGTGTTATCCAATACCTCTTTTGTGGTTTCCTCAAAACAGGTTTTATTTTCAGATGAGGAAGTGCTCAACAGGATACGAAGCACTTTTACTGGACTTTACACATTGGATGAGGTATGCAAATGTGAAACAAATTTCCTACACATGTCACGCTTTGTCAACTAAACATGGGCAATTAAGATTGTACCATAGATTAATAATATTATTATAATTTGGCAGCCACCATCACCTCAAATTTCAGTTTGATCTTTCCCACATTAAAGGGGCAATGTCACAATATTTTTAAGTCAGTTTTGAGAGGTGGCAAAATCACCTTCAAATTGAAGAAAGCCTCAAATAATAGTTTTACTAAGGTAGGAAAAACACCAAAGAGGTGATAATAAACCAAACAGGAACAAGGATGGTTGAGGATGGAGAAGATTAAGATGGATTGCGAATGGCGAACTTGAAAAAAGTGGCCAATTTTTTCAAGATGCACAAACTGTGACGTAGCTCCTTTAAGGCTGATTTCCATTGTCCAGTAATTTTTAGTTTGATTTATTATATGATACAGGGTCCAGAGGGAGATAAACAGTGTCAAATGGCCAATATTAGCTGATCCTGACAGATTTTGTCCTCAAGCCACAACTGGAAGGAGGAGGTAGGACACCCATAAAAAGTCTAACTAGTGATTTGTTTGAAATGAACGTTCGGTGACATTATGTATAGAGTTGATATTAGAACCTGCTTTTAAAAATCCAAGACCTAGAGTCACAAGAAGCTATTGATAGTAGGGAACTTGTTAGTGTTACATTCCCGTATCAGTCAACGTCGGTTTTGTTTGACCTTTTTTTGTAAAAAGCAATAATTTTATCTAGCGCCTTCGCGCGCATTGCGGACCTATTACACTAGATCTCCTTTTGACCACTCTCGTAAGCGACCAAGTTCTAGTTACGACCACCATTGTGAAACCCCCTTTGAATTGTCACTCAAACTCTGTAATTAAAAGCTCTCATAAGCGACCGCGAACACTTTTGGAAATTATCAACTGGTCGTTTCCTTTGTTATAAGCTCTCACGGTAAGACCAAAAGAACAGTCGCATTACACATTATTTTTTTTCTTTTACAGGGAATAACATTTTTGGTGAGGACATTGTCAAAACATTAACAGAGACAGTTGACTTGAAGGAACGATCAAAATTCATTTTAATGGACAAAATTCAGCCTCCGATCGCAAAGAACTACATAGTGCGAGCAGAACTGGATAAACCTGTTTTTAGCAGATGTGCTCAGTGAGATTGGGTGTTTTGGAATACTTATAAGGTAAGTAATGCCCAGGCTACCTCTACCATCAATGCCGTTGCTCTGGAAGGAGGAGAGGGAATAAGTACTTTTCCTGTCAGATTCTACTGAGCCCGCAGTTTTGGTGAATGAAATGACAAGGCATGATGCTTCATTGTGGTACAATGCTCAGTGACATTGATCAATAGAAACTTGGATTTTTCATATATTCTCCATCTACGGGTATAATACGAACTCGCAAAATTACCAGCTCCCAGCGGGCTTGATAGCTCAGTTGGTAAGAGGCTAAGAGCATTGCACCGGCATCATAAGGTTACGGGTTCGAATCCCGTTCAATCCTGGATTTTTTTTTTTCAGGTTTCTCTTTTCAACTGCTAAAGTTGTAAATCTTTCACTGCGCTGATCTATGTTCCGTAATGATCCTTTTCCTCCTCGCAGTTTAATATATGATTTTTTCATATATTCTCATTCAGAACTTGGACTGTTTATTAATTGGATAATAACAATCAGAAAGTACTTGTACGATGTAGAAACTGGTAATAATGTAGTGCTTTCATGATTGACCGTATTATTTCTTATTGTTCTGTTAGTCGTGGTGACGAGGTGATGGTAAACAGGGAAGTAGGACATCGGATGCGCACAAAAAACACGGCACATCAGGGATGGAGGGTTTTGCTTCAGGACGGGCTAATCTGGATTAGCCCCTTTTTTGGTTAAACTTCTCAACCACACATGGACCGTTTAGTTCTTTAAAATAATATACTGCCCAGGGACAACAATAATATTTTAATACAGTTGAACTCCGATTAAGCGGCCACCCTCAGGAAATTGCAAGTGGCTGCTTAATAGGGGTTGGGCCGCTTAATCGGGGTTTTATTTACAGTATTATACTGATATTGGGACTTTGATAGCTGGCCGCGGGGTTGGCCACTTAATAGGTGGCTGCTTAAACTGTATATTGTA